GATTGCATCTATTTCATTTGTGTTGACATTTGGTTTACCTAAGCTATTGTGTAGTTATTTTTAAATTACATTTGTAGTAATAGGTTCAGTGATATTGAACCTGATTAGTTTTATAATTATTTTATTAGGCTAGCTTATTTGTTTTTAAAATAAATTATTTAGTTATTTGTAAAGTAGTCCATAGTTAAAATGTTTATTTTAAAAATGATTATTATTTAGAATTTATAGATAATATTTTATAAATTATTATAATTTTTTATTTTTAATAAAAATAGTAATAGAAATTATTAAATTATACTGGATAAATGCACTTTCACATTGTTTAAAAACAATATACAATGTAAACAAAAATTTATTTAAAACTGTAACTTAATGAATTATATCTATAATAATATCTAGGTATATCGGATAAATTATAAATTGGGACTGGTCGGGAGTACCATTAAACTTTTTATTATTACTAAATTTTTATTTAAAAATTAAGACTATTTAGTAGGTGTTTGGGAACGGGATCTCTGTCTAACAGCCCCCGTCACCTGCATATTAAACGACTCAATCTCATCATCATCGCTATCATCGAGAAAACGTTGATAATTGTGAGCAAACTTAATTGCATCAGTGTTGTTTTGCCAAAAATAATCTTGTTTATTTAGGTAGAGGGTAAAACAAATAGCTACTGTAAGGCATATGGCTAGCAATATAGCACCTAGTATATTAGCATTCACCAATTTATCAAACGACTGTATGGGCTCTATTCTATAGTGCAGTACCGATAATAAAGTGAGCAAGTTGTAAATTAGCAGCAGGCTACAATATTTATTAATACACTTTTTGTGGCCCTTGGACAGTGACCCGAGTAGCCGTGTTAACCCGTAATAACCTTGATAATAAAAAATTTTTTAATATTTTAAAAATTACTTAAACCAGCTAGTTGCATTAATTATATTCTACCTGTAATAATGATGGGAAAGTTTATGGCAAACGTTATTTCCATTGTGGAGATGACGTACTTTTTGTACAGATATTTGGGCTCATAGTAGTCAACGGGACGGCATATATTGTCCACGTAGTGGACAGTATGTATGATAGAGCTTATGGCGTATAAAATGAATACCCAGTTAGATATACTTGTCGTATACCCAGGCTGTTGTTGTTGATCCAAACGGTGGTGTCTCCTAATAGCCCGGTATATGAGTATTTCGCGGATTTTTAAGAAAATGAACCAGGTGATTATTAGAAACACAAATAGTAGCCGATATGCTGGTAGGCCATCGGTGCCCTCATTAATCACAATTGGCTTTCCATAAGTGGACAGTCCGTATGTTATATTCATTATGGGATTAAAAGACTTTTTAACACTTTAGTAGCATCTACTTTTGTAGTATCTAGCACAATTTAGTTATATAATGTGAGTTTTAAAATAAAATAATACAATGATGTTAAGAAACAATAGATTTATTATTGTCTATGCGTATTAAAAATAAAAATAGTATATTTTGTCAAGTAGTTATTAATTTAACTCCATGACAATTATCATGTTTATTTTATTTATTGCTTAGTTCAATAATTAAGTGCTTTACATGAGTACATTTAAGTGCAACTCACATTTAATACGGTGTAGTCATAAAGTCTGCAAAATATACTTAAATAATGTACTCTAGTGAGAAATATACATACTATATATACTAGATAGTGTAGAAATAAAATAGAGATGTACATAGTGAGATAATATGTTATATTATTTTTGTGAAAGACCAGTCTGGGTGTCCAAGGACATATTTCAAATAACAGGTTGTTGAATTAATAAACATGCGAGTTCAATTGGAGTATGCGCCTTTAAAATGTTTTTGTTTATATAATTTAATACATTTTATGACAAAAACCAGTGCGCTAGTAATTAAGCTAGAAGTTTGTTTAAGTCAGGTTAGTTATTTAGTTTTACTATTAAATACATAGTATAAAATAGGTTTTATATTTTTATTAACAAATCATTTTGTTGTAAAGTTTTCAGTAATAAATTTACATAAAAATCTAACATTGCTTAAAAATTATTCAAAATGAATGCTATTATGAAAAGTATACCAAATGTGGCGATAAAGTCAAAAATACTGTTAAAACCGGTTACTTGTAAAAATATCGGTATAAGTGCTAAATTATTTTCAACTACCAAGGTGGTTAATAATATTGTATTGGTGGAGAATAAGCAAGGTGTTCGCATAATAACACTGAATAGACCGGAAAGGTTTAACTCATTTAATAGTGAAATGTTTGATACGTTGCGTAATGTATTAAACGACACCTCCCGGGACGGGTCGGTAAAATTGGCGGTCATTACGGGAACGGGAGACTACTTTACATCCGGAAATGACCTTGGTATGTATCATTTTAAATAATAATAATTAGCTGTAAATTAGTTTTGAAAAGTGTTTTAAATAATACTTGCTATTCAATTTAATTATATATGGCTTAAACAACATCTCCACAAAAACTTTTATGATTAACTCATTTTAGTATACTTTGTAATACAAAGTTTGTATATTGCACATTTATTTATTTTTACTTTATTATAGTCTATATTAAAATATGTATTTATTTATATCAAGAAACGGAGCAGAGGGACTGGCTAATTTGTCGGTCAATAGCACTTATAATCATTTAATTTTTATCGTTTGACTAATGTTTAAAATTTTAATAAGTTTATAAATTTTAGATATCTCATGAATATAAAGTTAATTTAAAGTTTTGCATTCATAAAGAAAATTTAGTAAATAGTGCATAGAATTATAGATTTTAATAAACAAAATCTGTAACCTTCACCAGTATACTGTCAAGTCTTAATAAAAAAAATTATAAATTTAGACAATTTGGTAATATTTATATTGCCTTATACTGTAATATTAAACATATAAATTAGTCATTTAGAAAAATAAGTGGCAAAAACTGACCAATGCTAAATATTATATTATTTTAAATAACAAACACTACAACAATAATAACTAATTTAAAACAAAATAGCTGCATTAATATTACTAGATTATTTATTAGTATACTAAAAAAGATTTATTAATTTAATAATTAAACTGTAATTAATATTTAAGGTTATGTTAAATTATAAGAATTAAAAGTTTAATATTGTACATGGCTCACCCAAATAATTGGATTTATTATATTTTATTTAATCTACTATGCAAAATACTTTATAAATAAAGTTGTATACAACTATTAATATCACTAATTATAAGCCCATAATAAATAATTTAAAATTTATTTTTTAAAAAATCAAATTTAAGCCAACTTTGAACGACTGGAACGGGAGCTGAAAGGGGACATGAATGCCATCGCCGACCGCAGTGTGGATACCATTCAGCCGTTTATCGGATCACTCATTGACTTTCAGAAACCACTGATCGCTGCCGTCAACGGCCCGGCCATTGGTATCGGCGCTACACTACTGGCCCACACGGACGCCGTATGGGCCTCGGACTCGGCCTACTTTTACACACCGTTCACAGGGCTGGGCATAATAGCCGAGGCCTGCAGCTCCCATACCTTCCCGGCCATTATGGGCACCATTAGAGCCAATGAGATGCTTATGTTTAACTATAAGATGGGGGCACAGGAGGCCCGGGAGTGTGGACTCGTGTCACGTGTTGTCCCGAAACAGGAGTTTAGGGAACGGGTGGAGGAGTGGGTGTTCGGAGCGAAGGGTTTACTCAACACTTCGTACCCAAAGTCCATGCAATCGACGAAACAATTGCTGAGAAACGCGACGAAGAGACAGACATTGCATGCGATTAACGCCGAGGAATGCCTACAATTAAGGGAGCGTATGGCTAGCGATGAGGCCAGGGATGCCATCAATAAGTTTATGAATCGCAAAAAGTCTGCGAAATAATTGTTACGGAAATAGATTTTATACTAAATTTTATTAAGATTTTTATATACGGTTTGATAATTAGATAAAATTTATTTTAAAATTATTGACTTATTAATTGTAATTTTAAATAATGAAACTGTAATAAAAACATTACAACTTATTTTAATTTAATTGATTTTTATTTTTATTTGTAATTGGGATAATATAGTGTACGATTATTTAAAATATTATTTTGAAAATATTGAAATTATTTATATACACCTAAACCAATGTAGTAAATATTGTAGTAATTTTAGTTGATCATATTTTGTGTTATTAATTAATAACAGTTGACTAAAAGTTAATTTTTATATGTACTACCATAAATTTATTTAAAATATTTTAATACAATTTACTAAATTGTATGGTTTTTATAACCGCCGCTCAGTACACTTATGGGGTTTGGATATGTTATAGAGTACATGTCCCTGATAATATTCAACTAAAATTTATCAGCCAAATCCGGTTATTTGGTGTCCATTTCTGGCCGCAAAA